TGCAACAGTTTTCAGTCGATACACTCAGCAAAAATATAAAGGCAATGCTTTTGGTTTTGCTCCCATTTCTCAAAGATCTAAATTTGCCTCAAGCAATGCAACACATCTCCTTCTCATAGAGTTGATCAGGTCGTCAAATGTGGCCTGTGGAATGTATGTCAACTCCTCGTCAATGGCTGTGCGAAGTCGCTGGATATTGGCAGTACATGCTGTCATATAAGCTGATCCAGAGAATCCCAAATATGCTCAATGGGTGACATGTCCGGTGAATATGCCGGCCATGCAAGAACTGGGATGTTTCCAGCCAAGAATTGTGTACAGATCCTTGCAACATGGGGGTGTGCATTATCCTTCTGCAACGGGAGGTGATGTTCTTGGATGTATGGCACAAAAATGAGCCTCAGGATTTGGTTCATTTAAAATTCCATCAATGAAATGCACCTGTGTTCTTCATCCATAACAGATGCCTGCTCATACCATGACCCCACCGCCACCAAGGGCCACTCAATCCACAACACTGACATCAGAAAACTGCTTACCCACACTACTCTGCACATGCTATCTGCCATCTGCCCTGAACAGTGTAAACGGAATTCATCCATGAAAGGAGCCCCTCTCCCACGTGCCAGATCGCAACGAATTTAAACATTTGCCCACTGAAGTCAGGTACGACGATGTACCAGAGTCAGGTGGCTGTCAGTGGCTGGAGGGGATAAACAGTTGTCATTATTCACCTGAAGAAGGCGAGGACTGTGTTTTGAGATGGGAACTGTTCGCTGTCTTACGTCTTCCAGGGTGAAAGTTTAAAACTCAAAGCTGATGATGCATTGTGTGTCAAAATCATTTGTAATGCCCAATTTCCTTGATTATTCTTAGAAATGGATGATTTGAATTCTTCAGAAATACACCCCCCTGCCCCCCCGCCCCCCGTTTTACAAGTTTTAAAAGACGAACCAAACATCTTCCTGTTATGCAGAGACTGTTGGTAAAGGAAAAACCCCTGTTTCTGCTTCATAGTCCTTTATAACAAGGTGTCACCTATTTCAGGTAAGGAAACTGATCTCTGCATCGACAGACACAGACAGAGAAGAGAGGGACTGGTGGGGTTATTCTTTTTCTGGTTTCTTACTTTTAATTTGCATAAAGGCCTGAACTGACTGAAGCTACAAGTAAAGCTGATGAAAAAGTCCTTAGCCAGTTCAAACAGATGAAGTCTACCAGATGACATGAAGCACAAATGATTTTACTGTTGAGAGGATATTTATGTGTGAATCATGGTATTTAAAACTTACTTTACAAATTTTCTCTGAGTTTACAGGTTTCGCCATCCTTTTTAATCCACTCCAGATTTCCTGTGCTGAGCTCAAGAACATAATCCACCTCCATCCATCTTCATACAGCGTGAGCAGAATCAAGAAGATCTCCCCACTGTGTTTGTGGTTTTATAGCGAGCTAAGAGAGAATCTGAGAGAGATGGGTCCTCTGTTTGCTATTCCCATCCTTGTTGCAGTGAATGGCATCGCCGGCATTTGGGCCGTGTGAGTTTTTATTCTCTTCCTCATCCATCCCTTTTTTTCCTCTAATCAGAGGTTTCAGATTTTACAGAAAATAAATGTTTTAGATATTTTTCAAGATATAAAGGTTACAAAAATTTATGAGTTAATCTACGAATATAATGTCTCCTGTGAAAAAGATCTCAAGAGACTTCCTGGTCAAATAACTAAATAAGCAGTAAGAGTTTCCCAAATGATTGCTTTGCATTTTTCAGAGCTGGATTGTTATTCAGTTTGTTTATAAATCAAAATTAAAACAAAATTTAGACCCCTTTCAAGAAAGAACGAGTCCAGTTCATTTCCAATTCATAAAATTGGTTTGGTTGTTTAATAAAATCTGATCAATCAGATCATACAACTCTCTCCATCTGTTCTATTGGCACAGATTTTATCTTTTTCTGGACATAAGCTGACGTTTCATTTAGTTCTATGATTAGTTTACAAATTCCCCCATTTCTTCTTTTGAGATCTCAACTGAGTTTCTTGGACCCAGACAGTTCAAAGATTTGAAAACACTTGTAGCTGAACCCTGATCCCAGCTTGCAGGAAAAGCAGTTAATATTAATTATCAAAAGTCCCACATTATTTTGAAATTTGTATGTTGATATTGAGAATTAGGGGACACCTTTTTGGCATCTGTTAATCTGCTGGATTTATGATGTGAGGTTTTGTTTTCATCCTACAGGTATGGAATAGCTTTGCATAATGGAACAGTGAATCTGACGGACCACTTTCCTTACATCAGGTCTGTATGAAAACAAGATTTACTCTAAGAAAAATTATGTTTATGGATTTAGATAAGTTAAATCTGACATCAATTCAACTAAAATCTGCCAGAAGAAGAGTCTATGTTACAGAATAGAGGATCAATGATGATGTCTGTTCCTTTTATCAGTCACTGTGGGGCAAAACCTCCAGCCAGCTGCTGGTTCTCTCAGGTCTGCAACAACGGCTGCATTCTAGGTAAGAAAGGCAGCTTTATGTATCTGCATCCAGTTAATAGAGAATACAGCCAAGATCACCTACATTAAGACTAATTCTGGCTGATTTATGTTTCAACAAGCAGTCTCAGGACACATTACCAAAAGAAGGTTAACAGGTGAAACCAGAGAATTTCCTCTTGATATAGTTTGTAAAAACAAACAAAAAAACAGCAGGTTGAATCCAACTACATGTAACCTTGAATGAGTTATTCGACCTCATTAGAAGACAAATTCAAAAAGAAGGAGAACCTGAATTCCCCATGAGCCTTTTGACTAAAAGTAGTTCTTATGAGCGCCAGCACTTTCTCACGATGGATAAAAGTTCTTAATGTTCCCTAGACCTTCAGAGAGTTCTGAAAGTGAACAGTTGATTATCAATCCCTTTAGTTTATCCATTTATTTTTGTATGTAAAATAAACTTTGAACGATCTCAACGGGTGTTTATCCCTTTAGTCATGTACAAAAAAACAATTTAGATACTTACTTTTTGGTGTTTTTTTGAAGCGTATGGTGATCTCACCTTAAATAGCTTTTTTTGTACATGATTGAAGGGATACAAGCCTATTGAGGTAGTTTAAAGTCTATTTTTCGCACAGAACTAAAGGAATAAACGCAAATCTGATGACTTGCGTATGTTTATTGACTATGGGTATTCGGGTCTGACAGAACACTGTCTCACCTTCTCTCTGTTGTCCGGGTACGCAAAGTATACCAACGTTAAAGTTGGTCCAAACATTCTTAGCTTTGCTACGTGTAGGGCAGTATTGCCAGGTGTACGGTAATTAAAATAGAATAGAATTAAACTTTTTTATTTTTTATTGTATATTTAACAATTATCATATATATACAACAATTTTGCTCCCTGTGTGATCAATAATCCCAAAAAAGGGCTAAATGTAAGATAATTTGATCATTCTATGATGGCCGAATGTCCACTAGTGGGCCCTATACTCACTGCCCAGCACCGTGGAGCTCGATTGGCATTTGCCACAGAACACTGGAATTGGCAAGTCTGCCACTGGCTCCCTGTGCTTTTCACAGATGAGAGCAGGTTCACCCTGAGCAGGTGTGACAGACGTGAAAGGGTCTGGAGAAGCCATGGAGAACGTTATATTGCCTGTAACATCGTTCAGTATGACCGGTTTGGTGGTGGGTCAGTGATGGTCTGGGGAGGCATATCCATGGAGGGACGCACAGACCTATACAGGCTAGAAAACTGCAACGACTGCCATTAGGTATTGGGATGAAATCCTTGCACCCTTTGTCAGACCCTATGCTGGTGCAGTGGGTCCTGGGTTCCTCCTTGTGCACGACAATGCCCGGCCTCATGTGGCGAGAGTATGCAGGCAGTTCCTGGAGGATGAAGGAATTGATACCATTGACTGGCCCCCACGCACGCCTGACCTAAACCCAATAGAACACCTCTGGAGCTTGTTTGATACATCCAACGCCGCCAGGTTGCACCTCAGACTGTCCAGGAGCCCAGTGATGCCCTGGTCCTGATCTGGGATGAGATACTCCATGACGCCATCGTCTCATTATGAGCATGGTCCGATGTTATCAGGCAGGCATACACGCACTTGGGGGTCATACAAAGTACTGAATACCATTTTGAGTTGCTGCAATGAAATTTCAGCAAAATCATTGTATTTTTTCACTGTAATTTTTGGGGTGTCTTTGAATTCAGCCCTATGTAGGTTGATAATTTTAATTTCCATCAAATGATGTGGCATCATTTTGCTCCTAACACATCACCCAGTCTATATCAGTATAAATAAACAGCATGATTTTTTTCCCCCATTGAGATCTGATGTGTTTTCAAAGTGTTCCTTTAATTTTTTTGAGCAGTGTATTTAATTCTCTGTGAAATAGTGCTGACCATTCTTTAATAAGATCCTCCTCAAACGGACATGATATGTTTGTTTTTAAAACCTAATGTGTTTAACGAACCCAGGAATGATATATATATATATATTTTTATATATATTTTTTTTTCATGTACAAAACTATGACAAAAATTGAACTAACTCAGGAAATAAAACAGCGAGATCTGCTGTAAGGAGAGAAAAGAGAGAGAAATTCCTGCTCCCTACCAGGTTAGATCTGGGAAGAAAGTTACTACGGTGACTGAAACAGAGGTTTAGTTTTCCATAAACCTGCTTTGTGATGCTGACCCCAGATATAATAAACCCAAACCAGAACCAGAATTCCAAAAGCTACAAAAAAAACAAAAGTGATTGTGAATCATTGAATTTATTATATAGGTTCAAGGTTTGGGTAAAACCTTTTAGGCTTCTGTTAGAAAGTTGAGAGCTTCTAGCTGTGTTCTAGAAACTAATCCTACCCAGAACTATACAGTGGAACTAAAACCTTCTTTCTTTCTCCAACAGCTCTGATATTCGACACTGTGCGTTTCCTCGCTGTTAAAAACCATTCAAAAAACAGAGGGTATAACATTGCTAGCTTTGTACTGGGAATCTTCTCAGCTGTGGGGTTGTCCATCACCGGAAACTTCCAGGTAGCTGATTCTGGCTGAGCAGACACACTAGTAACCTATCAGAAACTTGCTTGGTTCTGATTAAAATCTACTTCTTATGTCTGTTCTGTTTCAGGTCTCAAACAATGTTTATCTTCATTACATTGGTGCTGTTCTGGCATTCTTTGGGGGCCTGGTCTACCTCTGGTTTCAACTGTTTCTTATCAGCGACAAGATCGTGAAGTACATTGGGTATGTTGTGTGCTCCATCTGCACCATCCTGATCATCTGCAGTATCCTTTATAAACGGAATCACAGGTCATAGACAGCAGGTAAAATAAGTATTGAACACAGCACCATTTTTCTCAGTAAATATATTTCTGGAGGTGCTATTGACTTGACATTTTCAACAGAACAAGCCATGTAATCCACATATACAAAAAAAAAAAAATGTCCAGAAATTTAATTATTTGCAATAAAGTGAAATGGCACCGGGAAAAAGTATTGAACACTCTTGCTGAAATTTATATACGCATTTGTTCCAAAAGCCTCTGTTGGCAATGGCAGCTTCAAGATGCCTCCTGCATGGAGAAACTAGTTGTATGCATTGCTCAGGTGTGATTTTGGCCCATTCTCCCAGAAAGTCTTCAAGTCTTGAAGGTTCGGTGGGCCTCTTCTATTAACTCTGATCTTTAGTTATTTCCATAGATTTTCTATTAGGTTCAAGTCAGGTGATTGGCTGCACCGTTCTAGCAGCTTTATTTTTTCGTTCTCTGAAAACAATTTAGAGTTTCCTTAACTGTGTGTTTGGGGTCATTGTCTTGTTAAAATTTCCACCCACATTTCATCTTCATCATCCTGGTAGCTGGAAGCAGATTTTTAGCAAGAAGGTCTTTGTACATTTTTCCATTCTTCCTTCCTCCAGTTATTTGAAGTTTGCCAGTACCCTATGCCATGTTGTTCTCACCTCCAAACTTCACTGTGGGTATTGTGTTTTTGGGTTGGTTTGCAGTGCCCTTTGACTTCCAAACATGGCAGTATTATTAAGTTCAACAATGGTCTCAACTGGCCAGATTATATTGTCCCAGTATTTCACAGGCTTGTATAAATATTGTCCAGCAAACTTTAAACAAGCTTTAACATACTTTTTCTTCAGCAATGGAGTCCTGCATGGTGAGCAAGCATGCATACAGGCTATGGCGTTTGAGTGAATTACTTATTGTTTTCTTTGAAACAATTGTTCCTGCTACTTCCAGGTCTTTCTGAAGCTCTCAAGTGTTTTTTGTCTCTTGGACAATTCCTCTTATCATTCTTTGCACTCTGTCATAAATTTTGCGAGGAGCACCTGGTCATGGTCAGTATATGGTGAAATCAAGTTCTTTCCACTTGGTCCCAACTGTGTTCACTAGAACATTCAGAAGTTTAGAAATCCTTCTGTAACCCATGCCATCATTATGATTTTCAATAAGGTTGTGTAGGTATTGGGAAAGCTCTTACCCATCATGAGATGTTTCTCGTTTGATACCAGACACACCTTATTATAGGCCATCATTTGGGACTGAACCAGCTGATATTAATTTGCAATGACAAGAGGAAGGATTACTTTCTAATTACTGAGAGATTTCAGCTGGTGTCTTGCCTTTCCATGCCTTTTCGCTCTCCTTTCTTCACGTGATCAATACTTTTCCCCTTTGCCATTCCACATTATTACACATACGGTAACTTATTTCTGAACATCTATGGTTTGATTTCTTTGTATCTGTGGATTGCATGAATTGTTACAGGCATCTATATAGCACCTCTAGAAATACGTGAACTGAGAACAATGGTGGTGGGGCGTTCAATACTTATTTTAACTGCTGATGGAATTCCAGAGGCCACAGCCAACAAAAAAAAACCTTAAAAAATCCAACAAAAAAACATAGCATCCTATCACATCTGCTTTGTCAGGATCTGTGTCTTTGAAAGAAGAACAGCAAGAGCATTAAAAACATAAGCTGTTGTGCTTTCTCATAGCCTCTCTACTGCCATTTAATTTGTTACCCTGATTGGCTAAAACCACACTTGGTTGGTCAGGTCACTTTGCCTAATCAGCTCAAAAAGCTCTGCTGGATATCTCCCATTTCCCCAAACAGATTCGATGACAGCAGTCCCAGATTGATAATGTGTAGAACTAAACCTGAGAGCTAAACATTATCAGTTTGGCAGGTTAAGAAAAAGCCACATGTAGTATAAATGCTGCAAACACTGTGATAGAGGATGCATAAAGTATAAACCAGCCTTTACCTGACCAGGTGGAGCCAATGATCCAGGTGCTGAGATCAGACCTTAATTGAAGCACTGATTCATTGGTTGTTGCTGAACAGGTTCCTTTCTTTTTTTGTAAGTAGATTTTATATATTTATACCTATTCTTTTTATTTATATATATTATATCTATGTATGTCTATATCTATAATTTATATGATATATAATGACATACAGTCATAAAATGTTATCAAAGAATTCAGTTATTTTAGTCAATCATAGAACTTACATTCAGACAGATCATGGGACAGGGATGTTCCTTTTTACTACTGTTTCTATGCTGTTACACTTGTTGTCCTTAACTATTCTCTCCTTCAGTGACTGTTTTCCATTTCTGTGAATTTCTTACTTATACTGCAATCTGTGAGTGGACCCTGGCCACATCATTCTTCCTGCTCTATCCTCTGTTTGTGTTTGAGTTTTCAGATATCGACCTCAAATTTACCATAAACACCAAAGGCTCCGCCTCTGCAGGCGTCGACCAACCACTTAAAGATTACTAGAGGTCGCTCTGTTGTCACGGAGACAGATCAACGCTGATTGTTCATGTGAAGTTACTGCTGATGAATCTGAAACAAATAAAATCTCAGAGGAAAACTTCCTGGTTATTTGTATTACTAAGATCTTGTTGTCTGTGAAACTGGTTACTATGGTAGCAGTCTGAACCACTGTCCTGCTAAGTGTGGAAACTGGACTACAGCATCTTCAAAGCAGGTTCTGTTCAGAGGACCAATTGTTCACAATGAGAAAAACCCAATCCAATCAAATCAAAATTTATTTAAAACACTCTTTTAAAACAAACAGCTAGACCAAATTTATGTAGGGATTACATTTAGTTAAAAATAAAATGATACATATATAACCCATTATAAAACCTGCCAGAAAAGATGTAATTTGTGTATTTTATAAAAAAGCTTTAAAACCAGCTGCCTAATGCAGGATCAACCTGTGGGGCCGAAGTATTTTAGGAAATTTAATTTATCAGGAAAGCTGATATCAGGTATCAGGATGTTATGGAGGTCTGTTTTAAAATTCTGGTAAATCTTTACCAGCAGGGCAGATATTTTAGTTTAAACAAAGCAACATTCTTGCCGAAAATCTTCTTCAAAGTTATTTTGTGGGTCTTATAAAGGAAAATATTTTGACTCATGGGAAATGGAGGACCATGAAGGTCTCCCTTCCCTCTACTTTGGCTTCATTTGTGTTTTGTTAAGTTGCCTTCAGATTATGAAGTTGCAAAAAATATAAAATATTACAATATAGAATAAACTTAAACTGACCATGGGTGCAGTTATGCGCCCAAACTGTTTGACATCTTCCTCATCTGCTAATGTCCCAAATTGGTGACGTAATTGCTTCTTTTTCATCTTTATACGTGAAACTATCAATCTACTTTCCATATTGATAGGCTGCCAAAAGTACACACACACACACACAAAAAAGTACACACACAACACTAAGCGTTGTATTGTATTGTTGACCAATCACCTAGGCTATTGTTTTTTTTTAAGAAAGCCCCACTTTTTCTTTTGTTTTTAACAAAATCGGGCACAAAACGGCAGCCGTTTAACTGCTACAACAGTTAAAACCGCTATCAGGATGCAGTAACTTCTTTTTCTGAGCTTTCTTTGAACGCACCATGGCCATACGTGCCTGTTTAAATTGTCATCCAGGTCATGGCAACCACAAAAATGAGCCTAATTTGCAAGACAACTGAACTTTGGCTCAATTTTGTCTGCTGGCTTGCACCTGACTCTTGTGGCAGTTGGCAGAATTGACAGAGTCCCGGAGAGGTGTTGAAAAATCTTCAAAAAAAACAGAGCCAAAGTCCAATTACCTTCCAGTTTAGGCTTGTTTTGTGGCAGGTCTATTAAAACCTTTTCAGCTAATGGAGTACACCCTTTAGGACTTAACTCAACCAAACATAGGAAACTTCAATTGCAGATTTGTTTAGACAGTTGGAGCTAAATGTTTAGTCATAGAGCCTTAAAAGGACCTCTTGAACCTGCTCCAGATTTTTAATCATTAACAACACAAACTTCCGTAGATATTTAAAATTCTTGCCCATTCCTAAGGGTCTGACCTGTACGTTCGGTTCAATTTACATGTTTTCTAAGCCAAAACAAGGATTTGTTTTTGGTCCACTCCATAAAACCTCGAACGCTATATCTGACATTTCGAATTGAAAAAGCTTCCTGTATGAGAAGCGAAACATCTTCAAACTTGGAAACAAAGTCCAGTGTTTTTTTTTTACTTTTTTGGAATGATTTTGACCTGGATGACTGAGAATCTTTACCAACATAGATTGTAGCTACTTGTTAATCCATCATTAAATACTGAATTATAAAAATGTATTTTAAAATCCTATTTCTTAATGGAAATGTAAAAAACAAATTTATAAATCTGATTAGAAATAGCTTTCCTAATAACAAATTTAAAAATGATTCCTTATTGAATTTATTTTTCATACTTGCATTTTCAAATCTTCTTGAAATTCCATTTACCTACCTATAACACAACGGAAAACAGTTGAACTTTTATTGGTTTAACTGCCAGACTTCATTAACAAAATCACCAATGAAGGAGCTGGTACCATCAGATGAGCAACTGTGATTGGTTAAACTGGTTTCCTGCATGCTCAAGTCACAGAAAAGATAAATGGAGCAGGTAAATACAGGTAACTTTATTTATCTCACATTGGAGAAATCTACCTCTGAATTTAACTCATCCCCTTGGAGAGCAGTGGGCTGCCCTTGTGCGGTGCCCGGGGAGCAGTGTGGGATTAAGGGTCTTGCTCAGGGGGTCAGAGTGCAGGCCGTGGGGATCGAACCAGGTACTTGCAACCCTTTCATAGCACAAGAACACTGCTCTCCCCTTGTGCACACAAACCTATATTGTGTAAACAAGTTAACTGCATACAGTTCAATTGAGAATTTATCATGCTGTTATTCTTTTATAAAGTCATCCTCCTTCAGCCACTTAATTATTACAGGATTTTGCTAGCATCCAACCAGCAGCATCATGGTCCCATCAAAATCAGACCTACAGAGGAAATAGAAGTTGCTACATCTGAGACTGTTCGGTAAACCCGTGTTCACAACTGAAGGCTGTGTGTTCACCAATCCAATCCTGTAGTTCAGTGTATGCAGCATGCATATAGATGCATTTGTCTAAATGCAACATGTTAAATTAAGTTGTTAATATCAGTGTAATGAAAGCACACTGTTGAGATTTTAGATACGTTTTCTTGGGTCTGTGCGCCAGTTGGATTTGAAACTCATGGCCTGAAAAATGGTCTCAGCAAAACACTGATGGGAAGTTATTGCTGATGGATCTAAAATCTCAGAAGAAAACCTCCTGGTTATCTGTCCTAATACCAGGTTCTCAATCTCAGACCCAACCGGGCTTGTTGTCTGTAAAAGAGGTTAATATGGTAACAGTCTTAACCTCTGTCCTGTTAAACTTGGAAAATGAACTGCAGCCTCTTCAAAGCAGATTCTGTTTTAAGCTGCAGTTGTTCCCAAAGAGAAAAGCCCCCAATCCTATCCAACTTTATTTACAATGCACTTTTAAAACGAAAACCTAGGACAAAGTGCTGTATGGATTACATTTACTTAAAATAAAATGATACACATATACAAACCTGCTAAACAATAGTCCTTTATTTATTTAAAAATCCTGAACACCAGCTTACTGGTGTGCAGGATAAAGGAATGGGACCAGAGGTAGCCTTTTGCCTGTAGTGGCTGGCAAGGCTAGACCAGAAGAACAGGTGTTTATATTAAGCTCTGGTGCCCCCTGCTGGCCTCTAATGCAGATGTTAGTCTCTTTCTGCTGTTTAGAAAAAAAAAAGGAAATAATTCTAGTTAACATATCTAGAGAAAAACTGCAACTGGGGAAAGGTATAGAAACAGAGTCTGATTTGGCTACAATCTGATTTATACACTTTATTTTCTATATCAACAGGAAAGAAAAGTATCAGCTTTCAGAAAAAATAAAAATTTTTGATGAAGGATCATGTCTTGTTTTTATTTCACAACAGAAACGAATTTTCTCACAAAATGTTCTGCAGGAGAAGAAAGTTAAATGGGTGGAAAATAACCTCTCTTTAGACATACATCATAGCCCTTTAAGCAAAGAGTAAAAAAGGATTATAAAATTTTTAATTCAAAGAGAAAATATAAAAAGAAGAAACAGAAATGTGTTTTTTAGTTTCCTGTAATGTTTGTTGGACCCGCTGATCACAGCTCATCCTCCTTGAGCCCTGAAATAAAGAAGTCTCCAGTCAGAGATTTACACACTGATTGCACACAGCTTTCTGGATACAAGTACATGAACAGAAGGCATTGATGTGGAACATTAGAAGCCTGAGGAGAACACATACTAAAGTAAAAATGGTTTAAAGAACTTTCAGTTCTGAGTTCCTCTCTGACCCTGTGTTCTAAGGCAGGGGTTCCCTACCTTTTTTGACTTCTGTACCCCCTGGATCATTTAATCATGTTGATTATTTTCCAAAAGTAGAAAGTAAAACTGATTTTAAAATGAAATAATTTTTAACTTGAACATTTAGTGATCAGACATTTCATACTTTTCAATTAGAATAAAAATAACATAAACATGTTGCATGGAAATTTAATTAGTACTGAAATCCTTATAGAGCAAAACCCAACCCTATTTTGTTGTATTTCTTTACCTGGAAAGTAAAATATTAAATATTTTGACGTACCCCCTGCAATGCATGACTCTTCTAAAGTATCAGTTTCTGCTCTGACAACAGCAGCTGAAGCACATAGAGCCATGTATGTGGCAGAAATCTATTTGTCTTAGCAGCTGAGAAGTCCTGGTAGCTCTATTGCGTCTCCTTAATTCCATCAGTCCAGGTTAGACAGAATATTTGACTATTTAACAAATAAATGAGCCATGTTTTGTTCTCAGTGTGAGAAACAAACCTGTAGGATTATCTCCCTGGTGATGGTGCTTTCTGAATTAGGAACTATATGTAGACCTTTTCTTCACGTCAGATCCTGTCTGAAGCTATTTGTCAGAGACATGTCTCTCCTCATTACTGTATCACTATTTCCCTAAACACAGGAAATCTTCTCACAGTTCCTCATCCTGTCAGCACCAGGGAGGAGAGATCAGTAGATGACTCACTGATAACCTGAATCCATCTGACAGACACAGCTTCATGTCCTAATTATACCATCTCTCCAAGATAGTGGACTGGACACATAATCAAAATTGGATAAGCATTCTTTCTATTGTTTACTCTGCTTTCCTCAGAGGACTAGATATTACACCCGCCTCCAACATCTGACTACTGCTCAGGACTTTCCTGATCCAGGACCTGTAGAAACAGGGATTTCGCCCTAGGGATACATGGGAATCCCTATGGGTTTTTTTTGGTTTCAACTCAACTTTGAGTTGAAACCAGTTAATGTCAGAATCAATGTTATGATTAAAAGTATAGTGGAGGACTTTTGCGAATTTGATAAGACCCGTCCTTTCCACTTAAAAAAAAAAAACACATGCAAGACCCTGTACCCGCTCCAGAGAGGGAACGCCTATTAAAAACGTGCAAGAGCATGCATGAGCCCATTTGTCGTCGTGCACGATCTGTTTAAATGTGGCTGTTTGCATCGCTTATACAAGCTTTCTTTCCAAAAGATTTGCTATTTTTGTCAGACTCTCCACTGGTAAGGGAAAATGGGGACAAGCACGTAGGACTGCCTTACGTAAACATATCACCACAATGATTGACAATTAGAAGGACCACTTATTTTGATGATCCACCCGGAATTAGAATGAATGGGAGTATTAACCAATAAGTATAATTGTCAGAATTATCCAGAAAGGATCGATGTTGTGAATAGCCAATAAAAGTTCCTCAACAAAAAGGGTTAGGGGGGCAGTTAAAAGCAGGTTCATGCTTGTGTTCATCTGTGGATAATGATGTCAGAGTTTTTGTTACCCGTCTTGATTTCGTCGATGGATTCGACAAGGTGGATCTCCCCAATGGCCGATGCTTCACCTTTGGAGTTGAAGGCGTGACACTCATATGATCCATCTTCTTCTTCAGTCAGAGGGGAGATCTACAATAAGACCAGCACATCTGATTGGTCCAGATATGAGCTCAAGACATAATTTGACAAGAACTGGACCACCGTGCTGGCTACCCCTAAGCTGGTGTCAGGACCGACTTCTGAGTTTTTCTAGACGGCTTAGATTGAAAGAAACCACCAGCAGCTGAAAAGTGTTAAATGGAAACGTAGAAACCATTCCTCACCAGAACCCATCCGGTCACTTGATGCTTTTCTGGTCCTCCTCTGGTCTGGATCGCCAGGTTGTCTCGATCTCCGGGAAGAAGCGCCGCCTTTCTCTTTCCACCAAGGACCTGAGAAAGGTACCACCAGAAGCAAAATAATCAGATCAAAGAATATTTCTCTTAATCTAATTGGGTGTTCGAACTCTAGCTGTCCCCTTATTGATCTTTTTTTTTTCAGGTTAAATCAAATGACAGATGGATTCACCTTCCTCCAGGTGAGGACAGGTGTGGGCACACCCACAGCCTCACAGCTCAGGTACACCTGGGAGCCGCTGACGTTGTACACCTGACCCGGTGGAGTGACGATGACAGGAGCTGGAGGCAGACAGACAGAGTTCAACTATACGGGATGGGATCAGGACAGAGCACGCCTCATCATGGAAACGCAGTGACCTGACAGGAATGTCTTCTGAGCATGCTCAGTCAGGTCTTTTTATCTAGAATGGAATGCTGTGTTTAGAAAAGGATGAAGGGAGATTATCAGAGACACCACAGTACATTCAGAGGGAGTTACTGTCCCAAAACCACTGAGGCAGATCACTACTGAGATATGGAGCAGACAGGTAAACCCACAGAGGAACATCCATCAGAAACCTGCATAATTCCTGAGCATGGGGAAAGATCATCATCAAAAGGCTCCACGCAGAACATTCTCCACCAGAGGACTCTAGATGACGGGGATAAAAACTGAGCTGAAACAATCCGCTGGAGAGCCTCTGGTCTCCTGGGAAGCTATAGAGCAAAAATCTGTCCAGATTTTATGTGAACCTTTAAACTATAAACTCAGGGTTTATACTGAATCATCAGGTTATTTTAAATAACATTTACAGTAGTCATCCTCTCTCCTGAGGTGTGTCTCTCCCAAGGGTGTAGGTTTGATCTCAACTTTGGTAGGGACACTACTGGTCTTAAAATGATTTGGTCTGATGTCATTATGTAATTATGCATGCTCCTATTTATTTTAATGCTCGATGTATTAGGGCGCATTTCATTTAAAGAGAAAACCGCATTTTTTTTTTTGCTACATTTATACACATTTTATAAGCACTACACACACAACATGCTGTTTATCAATGTTTGAAGCATCAGTGGCTCAGAATAATGTAAAATTGGGACAACTTAACACTTTGAAAAGGGTTACATTTGAACTTACGAGTGACTAAGACAGAAGGTAAATACGTGCGTGCCTTTTTAACCAAATATAGTCTAAATATGTCTGTTGTTTATGTATTTATCCAAAAAATAGTATTGTGCAGAGGTAAACAGAGGTAAAACCCACTCTTATTTATTTTATCTGATATGTTGATATTCTCTGTATTGTAAAACAAAGCAAAATAACATATTCAAGGGACTGCAAATAGATTTATTGTATTTACGTGGAAGCGGGAACTATAAGAGGAACTGACACTGAGCATTTAAAATATTAACTTCAATATACAAGTTGTGAGAAAAGAAGCGCCTGCTGCAACAACACTGTATTGTAAATTATAAACATGTTATTCACATAGAATTATTGGTAGGAACATGTCCCTTTGGTCCCTATGCAAACCTACGCCCATGGTCTCACCTGAAGCGCAGCGGCCTTTGTTTAGGACACTGATGGCCTCTTTGCCCTCTTTCTGCGCTGTCAGGCTCGCGCTCTTCAGCGCGCAGCCGTTCTTGTACGTTGTTCCATCGGTGCCGCAGACCTCGTAGTTGTTCTTGCACGCGCACACGCCGCTCTTGCTCTTCTTGTCGTCGTCGCTTTTGACGCACTCCAGTCCGGTGCCGCAGCGGCGCGCTGTCGCGCGGCGTCCACCGCACGGCTCTCCCTCCGCAGCGGCGCAGACCGCACAGCACCCGCAGGAGTCCTGCAGGGAGCCTGCGGGACAGCCGTCAGAAGGGAGGGGGGCGCATTGAGTCGGGTCGCAGGAAGCACAGCCCGGTCCGGCCGCCAGAACCGGGACCAGGAACAGCAGCAAGACCGGGAGCAGAGAGAAGGAACAGGGCTTCATGGCGCTTAGATGAGATCTGGACTAAGACTGAGATGTGAGAACTGATCAGCCTGCTGACTCCGCCTCACTGCCAGAACTAATCCCGGATCAGAACAAGCAAAACCTCCTGCTTCACTTGTTTGTTTTTTTTTTTTTAACTAAAACAGGATTAAAGTTCCAGGGATATAAGATTATTAATGAGAAAATTATAAATGTAATTAAATAATAGATGGTTCTGATTGGAACTTTTCTCTCCACATTCCTAACATTCAGATCCAAGTTTGTTCCGGACTCCCATTCTGGGAAAACAGGAAACATTCCAGCCAAAGCCTGTGAGTGTTTTCTTCCTGTTATTGTTTAATAAACGCCCACAGACCCACAAAAACCCAGATTTTCTGACCAGAACATATTCAAATAGGGACAAATAAGATACAAAAACTTCGACATAATCCCTGGGTTCTAATTTATTTTATGTCCTCAGAGTCAAAACAGCAGAAGATTTAAAAAGAAAACCTTGTTGGACAGAACCAAAGAAATCATCAAGAAAAAAAATTTTCTACAGAAGCTTGATGTTAGAGCAGGTTTCTGATCATCAGAACATTAAAAAAGTTCCACATGAAGCTCCTCCATTAGAGCACCATCAGAACCAAGAGCGATGAGGTTTTCCGTTGAATTCAAGATTGGTACTGAATGTAAAACAGAGTAGAACCCAGACTAGTCCTAAACTGGGGGCAGGCTTTTCCTACTTCCAGTACTTTTTGATGAAGGATGACAGCAGGTCCCTATAGGGAGTTTCTGATCGTTGAGCTGGCAGTCTGAGGGTTCTGTGGACCGTAGGCGAGCGAAGCAGGAGGTTGTGACTGAAACCAACCAGACTAGAGCAGAGCCAGTAGAGTGCCATGGACTGGAACGATAGAAACAGGATGTTACAGGAATAAAATAACTCAAATAAAAGATTGAACACAGCAGGTCAAACAGCTGATCCAAAGTCCAGATAGAACCTGTGGATCCATTCTGATCAGTGAAAATGGACCTGACAGAGAACAAGCTCATATTCTGGACCTGGTTCTGATCCAGATCTCAATAAGAAGGCCTATGTTTGGATGACTAGCCCAGATTTCCTCCAACCTGAATGGATGAGCTGTTCTGACCCGACGGCCTGAAGGCTCGATTACTCACAGATGGGACGGAGGCGGCGATGGGGATCATTAAAACTGAGAACCCTCTGAACCCATTCAGAACCAGTTTCTGGAAGCGCGACGCCCCGACTCTCTGCAGAGAAAACACCTAAAGAAAAAGAAGAACTGCTAACTCTCTCTGATGACATCAAAGCTCTGGGTTTTCCAGCTCCGCCCAAAACCTACCTCCACAATGAGCAGGTTGGTGAGTCCCAGGCAAACTGGAAGGATCCAGGTGGAGTCCGGTAGGGTGAGGTCCGGGAACCAGAGAGTGCCCCCTGCTGCCAGCTCTCTTTGGAGGGCTGCACAAAAAACCAGGTTCAGCCCAGAACCGGGACCAATACAGAATCTGTTAGGCTCAGGTTCCTACCTGATTGGTCCACGCTGAGGTTCCGAAGGGCCAGAGACAGACTGATCCAGAGAGGCAGCTGGATCCACACCAGCAAACTAGCTTTAAAGGGGTGACAGTTGTCCCGGATGTAGAGCTGAGAAACCAGACGGCGTAGGTTCTTCTTGAACTGGATCCTGTTTACAGAACCAGAACAGTTTCAGACACTGAAATGCTCCCACAGAAATAAAACTCTGTTCTGTGTTCTGACAGATGGGCCTTCTGCAATCCTAACCTACTTGGGCGTCAGCCATCTATCATTTTTTATATTAACTAATCAATAGATTACTTCTTAGATTAATTGATTAATTAAAATATATATACTTTCAGTAAATTAAAATTGCTTGATTAAAATGGTTTGGAATTTCAGAAAAGCCTCAAAACATACAAATAGTATAGGTACATATGCACACACGGAGCAAAAAAAGTATGTGCACTTTGTTTAATGAAAGAAAAACCCACAATGGTCACAGAGTTGCATCTGACAACATTAAAATAAATAACAGAAAAATCTGTGAAAATGAACAAATGAAAGTCAGACATTGCTTTTCAACCATGTTTCAACAGTATGGTTTTAAATGAAAAAATGTATAATACAGGCCTGGAAAAAATAGTGGTACCCTTGAATTAATAGAAGCTTTGTGTGACGGTGGTCCATTTCACTATAGAGTTAATTTTGCTCCACTATTGTTGCAAGCAAAGAACACAATTTGTGCATTAAAATTTTAAAGCACATTACCTATGATAAAAAAAAAAAAAAAAAAAAAAAAAAAAAACTCAGATAATATGTAATTTTTTATATACCAATTTTTTTTTTTTTGCCATTTTATTTCTTCCAAACAAATATATTTTTTTCATTTTTTTCCCCAATATCCTTTATATTTTTTTTAGATTTATTATTTTCTAATTTTTCTTTAAATTACTCTTTTTCCGGTTGAGTTTTTTAAATAATATTCTTTTCAAATTGCATCTGCAGCACCGTCTCTTCACTTCAAGGCTGATGAAAATGCTCACTTTTAATGCACACATTGACCAATAAAAATACTCCTGCTATCGTTAAGCAGACCAGAGGAAATGTTCCTAGAAGTGAAGAGAATTTGATCTGGAAAAATCGATTTTTAAAAAATGCATGAAAGTTTAATTTAAAAAAAAAACTAATGCCTGTAAAAATAAAAACATAAAAAACTTAAATGAAAAAAAAAAATACAAAATCTGTCCCAAAAAATTATGAAAAAATATATTTAAAAAAATAAATATATTTTTAAAAAATCTGAGAAAATTGCAAAATTTTTCAAAGTTTAATTTCTGGATTTCATTGTTTTTCTCTGAGCAAGACCATTAACCACACTGCTCCCTGGGCGCTGCATAATGGCAGCCCACCGCTCCCCAAGGGGATGGGTTAAATGCAGAGGTAAATTTCTCTGATGTGAGATCAATAAAAGTAATCTATTATTATTATAAATTTTTATTCATTTATTTAATTTTACAAAATGTTTTTTTTTCACATTTCTTTTTACAAAATAAGTGATTTGCATGCAACAACAATGGAACAAAATTCACTCAAATTGCTGAAGACAAATGTCTGGCAGATGCAGGTCATCGTCAATTTTGGTTGGTAATTTTGGTTCTGTTCATCCAGAGAATGAAAAATATCCTGTATGCTTTGAGGAGGAACCTTGTGAGCAGTATGATCAGGACAATAATGTAGGAACTTTTCAAGAACTCAGAACCTGGCTCATTCTAATTGTTCTGATTCAGACTTGACCCATTTCCATTGTACATGTACCAACCAGTTGTCATAAAAAGTTGCATGTGTTCAGAATTTATGCATGGATCTTGGTGAATTATTCCAGGAGAACCAATTTAGGAGCTGAACTTTGTAGTGAGTCAGTGATGGTGACCCAGGAGTACCTGCTTGCTTATTCCTCACCTGCTCTGTTTGTCCGTCCAGCCTCTTTCTTTGCCTCGGACTGAAACCTCATAGCGAAGCCTCTTGGCCAGTTCAGAGATCTCTGCCTGGAGGGCCTCCACCTGTCCATGGTGTAGAGGTTACTATAATTACTCTGATAGGAAGGTCTAATAAAGTGAGTCCAGCTCGTCCAAACATTGAGTTTTGTGGATTTCAACATCAGTTCTATGGACTAAGCCGGGTTGGTTCTTAATTCTGATGGTTCAGTTTAATATAAAGTCTTAGTTAAAGGAAAACCCACCTTGGCGATGATGATCAGCTGGTAGGCGGCCAGTGGCAGGGTGATGAAAGTCCTGATGGACACCGTTGCCATAGCGATGCTCAGCCACCATGGCAACCCGGTCCCTTGCTGCACGCTGACCAGGAAGTTCTCACACAGGTGAACCGGAGCAGAGTCTGCCAGGCCCCCATACCATCCACCGCTGGTTCCACTCACACTAGAGGCTGCCCTAACACGTGACTCAGCTGTACAGGTGAGGGCAGGGGAAGCCCACCTGCCGAGAAACTGGTGAACACGCGACTGCAGGACTCTGCACCTCACAAGCCCCACCACAACGATCATGGTGTCCTCGAGCCTTTCGCTTTGGCTGACAGGAGCGCGCGCGTGCGCGTCTCAGCCGCCCTTTAAAACGGGTATTTACTTATTCCTCACCTTCATCGGCATTTCGGTCCATTGCAGCCGAGACAAGCGTCACATAAATATGACGTCAATATGATAACTTCGGCGCGGGGGTATGACGTATTGTATGTTACAAAATAAAAATGAAATAAAAATGTTCAGCCTTTTTTTTATTTTAGATTCAAATCTGCTATTACAAACAATTTTCCACATTATAATAAAGAATGCAAACGTACATATTATGACTGAGCGGTAATAGAAATACTGAAGAACTAGAAAAAAATCTGACAGAAGAGTGTTAGAACAACAAAACAACTGTATTGCATTTACAGAAGAACTTTCATGTTATAATTAAATTATTTATATATTTTAACACCATTTGGGCTTTCGGATTGTAACAATGGTTTAAAGCGTCTTGAAATAAAAACATTCCACTAATAAAGATGTTGAAAGAAGAAGTGATTTAAAAATAGATATTAAAAACACAGAAGGATTACACTTATTACGTAGTTCGTTTCTTTATCACCTGTAAGAAGACCAACCATTATTATATAAGAATTTTAAAAGAGGATTTAATTCAAAAACAGAGATATTCTGTCGTCTCAAATTTCTGACTCACAAAATGCACATGAATTCATCTTAAATTGTTTGTGCAAAAAGTCATTGCGAAGGTAGACATAATACATAATTTAGAAATTAATGTTTTTTAATAAAATACTCAAAAAATAAAACAAAACAAAAAATAGATAAAAAGCTAAAACAACAAATATAATAATGATAATAATAA